TTTTATTCGAATGCTCCAAGTCGGTATGTGTCCCCTTTGGTGGCTTTACCGTGCAGCTGCAGTATTTGTAGCCTGTGGCAGCTGGAGCGGGAGGAATAGAGGGATCTTTCCTTCTTGATGGAAAGAATAGCTCCCTGTTTAGACCCACTTCCTGCTTGGATTGACTTCCTACTGAGAACCACTTCCTACTTAGAGTACTGGGATAAACTTGGCTGCCACTGTACTTACAGAAGTACACTTGCCTCCTTTTTCTGTCCCTGTTCCCAAGGTACACTACCCAACCACTTCATTTCTGACAGCATATAAGCAACACTAGCAAGACCCAGGAGGTTTAGGGTCCTTTCTTTTCTCTATTAACCCTAAGAACAGAGACTGAATTTTATCAATGATGGCCTTGTCCATCCCCCTAACTGTGCGTCCACATTCCTGGTTTACCTGTATGCCTTAGTTGTAGTCCTCTTTCTCACACTGCTGGCATGGGCATCCCCCTGGCACATAACTCCTCAGGGATGCTAATTAGACAGGCACACCCACTTGCCTTGGCATGTTTTATGAATGACCCAAACTGCAAACACCAACATGTATAAAACATATGCTCTCTGCTTTGTGTAATTTCAGATACCAAAATATGCCTACACATAGGAGTATGTGCATATAGACACACATATTCTTTTTTGCCTGGTAGAAAGAAATATGCTTCTGCGATGTGTCTTTTACTCCCACACATGCCCCTCCATGGCTGGCACGTCTCCTAATTACTTCCATCTACTCCCTCCCCATAGACCTTTTGTGTGTATATTTTGGCATACATTACATTCTTTTGGTTCTAGCTAGTTCCTTTCTGTCTCTTTTCCTTTCTCTGCCTCCCTTTTTCTCCCTCTTCTTCACAACTCTTTAGAAAATTTGTTAAACTATACACTCTTTATTATTAATGCACATTTATGAAAAATTCTTCACAGTTACAAAAGTTTATAGTTATAAAATCATCTCCATACAAAGGTTGGCATCTTCTCTTGAACCTCTACCCTCCCTAGCCCTCCCATCACCAGACATCAGTATACTGCAGGATAGTGCTTAGAAAAATTGAGAGCTCTGTAGATCCAGCTCTCCAATAAGTGCTGTGGCAAACGTAAGGGTGATTTACAAAAGGACCTGTGACTTGCCTTCCTTACTTCCCTTTTGCTTCCTTCTGGGGTGGGCAAGAGTAGACACATTTCTCTGGTTTTGGGAAGACATCCTTTTGATGAATGAATAAAAGTATCTCCTTATGCTCTTCTGCTGTGGGAAAGAATGTCAGCAAAGACAGCTATGGAGAAAATGGGGGGTGTGGGCCTTCCCTGCAAGTTGAAGAGAAATACCTGTCTTGGTCTGTTCAGATCTATATATCTAGCTGCTTTTAAGGAGCCATGAAGTTCTATAGCATCTCTGGGGACCTATTTCTTCAAGGTTCTTTGGGAATCTTGGCAAGAATCAAAAAAGAGATAAGAGTTTAAGGGTAACCAGAGGCAATTAATTGGTCCAGAGTGGTGTGGTACAAAGACCACAGTCTTTTATAAAGAACAATTTTCTTGGCCCAGACTTTGACTGTTATAGTCCTGTTGGTTAAACTTTGATCTCCTCAGGTCCAGCATGAAGGAAACTTCTGTGATGAAGATAAGTTTCTGAGGAATAGAGGAGGACAGAGGGAAACAGGGGAGCAGTCAGGTTCTCTTTAGAATGCCCCTGTCACAGTTTTCTCTTTTTATATTTTCTGAGCATCCAGGCCTACTCTAAACCTGGTGGGAGTCCACCTTTGCATATCAAATAATTCAATAGCAAGCTGTCTGAGTGGACTATGTCAGAGAATTTAAACTCAAATCTCATAGAGATCTTTCCCAAGTCAGCTGATAGTCAACATAAATGGAATCTAACAGACAGACATATAGACACCGAGATACCCCAGCACATATACAGTAGCTGGTGTGGAACAAACTGAATGATGTTTTTGCAAATACCATAATGGGGTTGTGGTCACCAAGTATATGGGAATAACTCCAACCAGGATTGTTAGGTTTTTTTCTAGAAGCTTAGTTCTGACAGCCTGAACAAGACTGTGGTGGTGAGTTCCTTGTTAGTAGGGAGGTTGAATGTCTCCCTCTCTGTGCTTTAGTTAATTGGGGACCTTCTAACAGTTAGAGAAACATTTTCTTTAAAACTCATGTATCCTGCCTAGAAAGCTTTGCCATTAGTGATGACCAAATTGTACCACTAGAAAGAAAACTTGATCTCAAGGAGCATTTGGTATCTCATTGGGTTCTAGTTCTATGCCAGAAAGAGAAAAAAGTACATATCTTAAAATATGTTAGCTATATTTCAGTAAACAAGTCCACAGGAAATTGTTATAGACTAACAAGGTATTCTTCTATAGGAAGATTAACTACTCTGTCAGGACAATTAGTTCTAAAAGTTCTTCTCCAAATACTTTAGGCTGTTGAGTTGACTGATGGAGAATAGATGGAATCCATCATCCTTGGCCACAGTGGAAGGAAAGAGCAGGGCACAGCTCTGCTTCAGATGTCACAGGAGCAGGGCTCTGGCCCAGATGGTATAAGCGAGATTCAGGGACACAAAGTTCAAGTTTCTGGGGCCTTTTTTGGTTGACTAGCTCAGGACAGATGAATGGGGGAGACTTCTTGGAAGATGACACGTTCTCATTCATTTATTTCAGCTATAATGCAAGCTTCCTGGGACTAGAGGCAAGAAAGAAAGCTGCTGTTTTCATTCTCACCCTGACCAGCCTTGCCAGCAAGTTGGAGTGTGCGTAGGTCCCCCACCTGCACTCCCCGCAGAGGCTCTCATCTGTAGTTTTCTCTGTTCCCTTGGTATCTCTTGCAATACATCACAGCAAGGCTTTAGTAGGAGTGGTTAACACAGATTCTTCTGATTCCCAAAGATCTTATCTTTTTTTAACATGACAACCACCATGGCTACCAGTTCTAATTCTTCATTTATACATTGTAATGCGGTGTCTTTTGTTCAGATATTACCTGTGCCGCTTCTATGTTCCAAAGGCTATAATTTGAACATCATATTTGAGGGCATATTCCAATCCCTTCACAGCTAGCTTCCACTGCTCTTTATTTAGGTAATCTATTAGTATGTTCATGATTGCTGAATTCTAAGGCTCTACCACCCAGCTCTGTAAGACAGTCTCTTTCCCAAATACTCTGGAAAGAACTGGAAAGAGTACTCAGCTGGAGTTGAGGGCAACTTTGCCACTTCGGCAAGTCCTACCCAATCTTAAGCCTAACTACACAATAGCCTCACTGATGTTTGGTTTGTCTTCTACACAGAGTTGTAAAAAGCCAAGGAGAATGATGCAAAACACTTCCTGAACTATCCAGTGCTGAACAAGACAGGGAAGATTATGATGAAGCCGATGAAACTCATGATGAAGATGAAGATGACAATTGTGCTTTGCACATAGTCACTTGGTCTTTGATTAGATGTAGTTTCCCTGAATGGAATTGTCTATCACCTTCCTTCTGGGGCTTAGGTAAGTTACTCAGCTCACTACAATTATTCAACTATAAAATGGGAATAATAAAAACTACCAGGCAGAGTTGCTGTGAGAATCGGAATAAATGAGTCAGTAGATATAAAACTACACAGAAGACTGCCTGGTTCTTAGCAGCAACTTCATGAGTACTACTTGATTTAAATTTATATAGTATTAGAAGGAATTGTGATGTTCCCCAACTTAGATGGGGCAACAGAAAGAGTAGAGACTTTATTTTAGTCACAAGTTGTCATGTGACTTTAACCTCTCTAAGCCTGAATTACCTCATCTGCAAAACAGGAACAGCAATGTACCCTTCAAAGGATTGTTGTGTGTGTATGGAGAGAGCTTATCACAGTGCCTGACACTGGCAAGTGCTCAGGAATTAATAACTCTTCTACCCTTATGCTTAAATGGGTGAATTGCTTAGGAGAAAATGAACTCCCTCCTACGGTTGGTCATGACTATGGTGGCTTTATCCTTCTGCCTTGGGTACTGTCATGCTACAGGTCTGTGGCCCACAGTGCACTTTCCTGGTGAGATCCCTTGGTGTGAGCACCGTGGCAAGAATAGTCACATAATGGGGGTCCCAAAGTTCCAGGACTCTTGCTGCCCTGTTGTGGGTCTTCCTGCCTTCCTCTTCTGAGTGAGGCAAAAGACAGGGATAGGAGGAAGAGCACTGAAAGTGTCCGTTCTTAGCCTGCTGCCTGGAACCACACCAGCAGGCTGCAATTGGTGATGTAGTTTGGAGGGCAGTCACTGGGAAATGGTCTCACCCCATAGCTTCTGGTAGATGGAGGCCAGATGGCTGGCATGGAGGCATTCCCACTCCCAGGAAGCAATAGTTATAGCAATGAGAGCTGACAGGTTGGGTGTCAGAGGGAAAGTTTTGGTTTTGTGCACACCCCTTCTATATACTTATGCTGTCACAAAGAACAGTTCACTGTTCTCAACTCACCATTCCTGTTCTGGCCTCTGTTATTTGCTTATGTCACCCTTCTTTGACATTTTTTGATGACTCAACTCACAAGCCACTCCACTCTTGTAATTCTTCTTGGATTTTGTGGGTCGATCATGTGTTCAGAGCACTGACATATTATCATAAAGGAATAGTTTGGAATCTCTCCTGTTTTTTTTTTTTTTTTGGTGGTACTGGGGTTTGAACTCAGGGCTTCATACTTGCTAGACAGTTTCTCTACTGCTTGAGCCATGCCTCCAGCCCCTTCTCTTCTGTATTTGAAATAAGTGCCTCAAAGGCAAGGATTGGGTTGGATTCATCTTTCTTATATACCCAGTTCTAGCATAATGCCTGGCCCAAAGTGGATAGATGCTCACATAAAGTTAGTTTCCCAACCTTGTTTGCGCCTTGATGGAGGTGGTGAGGGCACCATGAAACCAGCCAGGATGAGGGTCTGGCAGTCAGCAGCAATGGCAGTCAGCAGCATGGAGGGATGAGAGGCACCTGCATCAAATCTCTTCCTCTTCACTGGCCTTGCTCCAACGGTGGCAGCAGTTGGCTGTGATGCCTAGGAGGAAGTTGGTGGCCACAGAAGCGATGGAGACCACGAAGCCCACGAATGCAATGAAGAGGTAATCATCCAGGGTCAGAGTCAGGTGGCAGGCCTTGAAGCTCTCCTCAGTGAGTGAGAAGAGGGGGGCTCCTTCAACTTCAGGGGGTCCCCGGCACTCAGCCAGCTGAGAATCTGCAACAGAGAACCAGGCAGGGTGAGGCACTTCGGGGACACTGAATGGATTGATGTGGCCCACATCCCTCCCAGGAGCCAAAAATCCCATAGCTACTTCCAATAATAAATCTGGGTCTTTTGTGGGATACCATTGTCTCTTGCTATAAGCCTAGTCAACTAGCCTTGGGATTCTGACCCTAAATCATCTTAACACACTCAAATAAGTGATGCCTTCAAGCCTGAAGTCCAGTTGTGTCACTCTCAGCCTGACACCTTCCCCTGGCTTCTTATCTTTGCACAGAATGAAAGTCAGTGTCCTCACTGTGTGCTCCAAGGATGGTTTCCCAGCTCTTCCAGTATGCTTCTAATTTACTCTGCTCTAGCCAAATGTGGCTCTGGTAGTTCTTCCATGATCCCATGCATGTCCCCTCTTAAGGGGGAGAGGATGTCTTTTATTTATCCCTTATGAGGGAGGGATCTTTTCCCCTGGATCTGTCTCATAGCTCACTTCCTTACTTCCTTTGGGACATGACTGATGCTACCTTCCCTTATGATTCTGTATAAAATAGCACCTTTATTCCCCCAAGGTGTCCTGTCACATCTACTCTGCTTTATCTCTCCCCAGTATTTAATCACTGATTGATAGTTTGTCTATTGTCTATCTTCTCATAGTCTCCCTAGTATTAGAACAGGGTCCCATTCATACTAAGTATGCAGTGAATCTTTGTTAAATGAATATGGGAATCTGTCCAAGTTAAGCCTTGAGTTATTCTACATGGGACTTTTCCAGATACATAGAATATAAGGCTAAGAGCATGGACTTTGGAGCCATCATCCTGAGTTCAAATCCCCTCGTCACCTCTCACTATTGTGTGATTATGAGTAAGTTATTGAACCTCTCTGTGTCTTTGCTTCTTCATCTGTAAAACAAAGATAATAACAGAATCCAACTTCTAGAGTCATAGTGAGGATTCAGTGACTTAACATATGCAAATGTCACATTCCTGGTGCATAATAAGAACCATGCAAGTGCGGGATTTTTCCCCCCAGTATTGGGATTTGAACCCAGGGTTTAGTGATTACTTGGCCAAGTGTGAGATTTTTAAAATTATCATAGATTGGTCTCTTCCTACAGGTCAGATTCTGCACTGACGTTTCTGTAGGAGGAGGCTGATCTTTTCATGAGGTGGTGTTCTTTCCAGCATTGGTGGTCTCGACTTATCCTCCCAAGGTCACTTCTATAAGTGCATGATGATTATCAGTAGTCTTATCTCAGTCTGCCTTAGAAGTAAGCGTGGGATACAGGGGAGGTATTCCCTACAGGGCTGGTTCTGGCTTTGCAGCAGCCAGCCATGCCTTCATTTTGGGTATAAATATTAACTGAGCTCTTAACCTTGAGCAATTTTTTTTGCCTGTCTCTCATGTTGTGCTTTATAAGAAGGGAATAATTTAATCTAAAATTTCTGAAACAATCAATGTGAAGAAGCTTTAAAAATTATGGAGGGTTTAATTATAGGGTGTAAAAGTGCCATGAATTCATTATGCAGTTTTTGAGGGCAAAAATCAAAATGATGGACTTGGATCAATTCTTTTGACAAATGGATGTGTATCATTATCCCATCAGAAATGGAAGGTCAAGTTTGGAGGGAAGAGGCAACTTTCCCCAAGTCCCAGGTTGAGTCCTTCCTGTAGGATGTTTGCACAGGACCCCCAGACCCTACCCATGCCAGGACTGTGTCTGGAATTGACCCACAAGGAGTTCTCTGGAAACTGGAAGATGCTGAACTCCAAAGTCTATTGTGTTAATGAGCAGAGTAATAGTGAGATAGTGAGGACTGGGGGACACAGATGAACTGAGCGCAAACCCCAGGACCACATAGGATGCAATATGGGAGGCTGGGGGTTGACAAAGCTCTCTAGTAAGTCAGGGCATGAATCCTGAAGTCAGATTTTATCCTAGTAGCTCTTTTTAGTCCTTTTGTGCTTGAATTTTTCAAAAAAGCATAGATAATAGTGAGACTCCCACAAAGAAAAAGGGAGGAAATAATGAAAAAAAGACCTTTTTTTTTTCCATTAAGGGGACAATATCACCTAGTTGTATCTACGCTGGCAAGGCTTTGCCTCTAAGAGGAAACATTTTGATGTATTATGGTGTAAGTATGCTCTGTGGAGGAATGGGAGGCCCAGGTTTCTAGCTGTGGCCTGCTTGTCTCTTTCTGTGACATGTGGACATTGCCCTTCTCTGCAGCTCAGGTCTCTCTAACCTGCATTCATGTGTGAGCCTGCACTGATAGGATTTTTGTGCCCCCCTCTTACTTGTTAGGAGCTGGGTTTCTGCAGGGCAGCAGGGACTTCAGAGAACCCAGAAGAAGAATTTCTGTTGTGATGGGAGCTGAGTGCCTGAGGGCCCTTTCTGTCACTAGTGACAGAAGACAGGAAAGGCACGGCCTGCAAAGGTGGGTTGGTGGGGAGATGGCTTCAGGCAGCCTCCCCCTCCTGCCCCTCATCATCGCCCCATCTCAGTCCCCATCTATTTTGGTCCTAGAGAATTTCCTCCCACAGCTCTGTGGAAACACTGGAATCGTGACCCACAGCCCCACCACACTATTTTCGTCTTGGGCTCCCCACTCAGCCCTCCTCTCCCGCCTGCCTCCTTCAGCACCATTTTTCTGAGAACTTTGGGCCCAGGCTCTCTGAAATTCCTGGAATGGGGTCCTAGTGATTCCTGTCATTCTGTGGCTGGGAACCCAGGTTCAGTGCTGTCATACAGAAAGGCTGGTGGCTGAGACTACTGCCAAACTGCCTGCTTCTGGGCCAGACTTGCACACCACTGGGTGAAACCAGGACACATAAAACCTGTGTGACTTGGGCTTCTTTAGGTTCCAATCCACTCTCCAGTTGGGATTGGCTTGTCGAATTGCCACATCTCAGCTACTCATTTCAGCTTCCCACCTCATGCACAAATCTTGAAAACTCTGCTGAGGCCATTTGGCTAGTCTAGACTTGTCTAGAACCTGATTCTTCAGGATATGGCCAGAGGACAGCCAGACTGTTAGGGTTCAAATCTTGACTTTAACACTCAGTAGCTGTGTGACTTTGGACAAACTACTAAAAACCTCTTTGTGCCTCAGTTTCCTCTTATGTAGAGTAGAGGCCTCTACATATACTCCTCTTATGTAGAGTAAAGCTCTTGTGAGGATAAGATGAGCTAAAGTAAAAAATATGCTTAGAATAAGGACTGGTAGATAGTATTAAAATAAATAGACATTACTATTTCTTGGAAGAGTTTTCTCAGTACTCAAAACGCTTAGAAAAACAGTCTGGTAAATCAGAACACAGCTTAGAAGTCATATAAACTTGAGTTTTACCTGTGACTACCATTTTCTAAATGAGTGACTCTGGGTAAATCTTTTCATTGCTCTAAATCTCAGTTTCTTCACTGTAAAATGGGGATTGGATGAGATAATATTCATAACCATCATCTACCATCAGCTATTCCTACTTGTTTACTCCAGCTATGTCTGTCACATGCACCACAGAGGCAAGGGGATGTCTGTTTCATGAATGAATGGGTTCCCATTCTTGCATGCATCACAAAAAAATTCAACAAATGCCTGAAAAGACTGAAAGAGCAGATGTACAAAGATCAGGACACCTAGATGTGCTCAAGAGCTCTGTCTCCCCCTTTTTTGGAGCCTTTGCCCTGGTGGCCTAGTCCAGGCACCTCCCTTACCAGCTGTACAGCGCTGAATCCGGTTTCGCAGCCATTTCAACAGAGGTTCCATGGTGCAGCCACACACCCAGGGGTTGCCCCCAATCTGCAGGGTCACCAGCCCTGGCAGACCCTCCAGGGCCTCCAGGCTGAGGAAGGCCAGGCCGCCATAGCTGAGGTCCAGGTCTCGGAGCTGCACAAGGCCCTGGAAAGCCTGGGGGTGCACTCTACGTAGCCATGGGTTGTGGCTCAGGTCAATGTGCACTAGCCCATGGGCCTCCTGGAACATGTCGGCTGGCACATGGCTGAGGTTGTTGTAGCTCAGGTCCAGGTGTGCCAAACGCTTGGCATGCAGGAAGAGGCCTGGGGGTAGCTCCGTCAGGGAGTTGTTGTGCAAATCCAGTACCCGGAGCTCTATGTAGCATGTAAGATAGCCAGGTGGCACAGCCGTGATGCGGTTGTGGGCCAGGCTGAGGTTGCGGGTGTCCATTGGCAGGTCTGGGGGCATGGAGAATAGCCGCTGGCTGCTGCAGTCCACCACCTGGTTATGGCAGGTACAAAGGACTGGGCAGCTGTTACCTGCATCAGAGCACATCACCCCGGCTGCCAACAGGAGGGAGACCAGCAGCATGGTTGGCTGGGAGGGCCCAGGCCAGGGCAGCTGGGCCCAGGTATCACCCATTTTAGGCAACTGGCAACAGCAGTGCTGAAGGGAGCCCATCAGGGTTGTGTCCATGGGTCCACAGTCAGTGTCCAGGGAGACAGCTACATCAGAGGCCTGAGTCCTGAAGGTGGAGCTCCTGAGCACGTGGTGTCATGGCTCAAGCTTTTCCTGGAGCCTCTAAGCACCGAAGGGCTTCCTGAAATCCACAGGAAGTCCCTTTTTTGGAGCCTAGGGGGCAAGAAACCCAGTTGAGGACCCCCAGGGTCTGAAAAGATGATCAAAACTCGAGAAAGGAAGGTGACAAGGATGGGACTGGAGCAGCTGCCAGCAGGTCCTGGAAGGGTCCCTGCAGATCTTTTGTGCCCTTCTCACTCATGCCTGCTGGGTGCTTCCTCTTGGCTCTATGTCTGAGAGGTGAGGGAGATGAAAGGTGGCCTTTAAATGTCCTGGCACTTCTTCTAAGAAAGCTTAAGTCCTGTCCCAAGTCTGTGACCAATTAGGAAGTCAGGGCTGCACCTGGGTCTTCAACATTTAAGGTCTCAGAGGCCATTTCTCCTGGTAATCCAGTGGGCTTGAGTTCAGGAAAGTCCTTCAGTGGGAGTTTTGGGAAGAGAGCCTGGGAGCAAATAGGTCTCCATTTGCCTCTGAAACCCAGAGTCCTTAGCCTCAGTGGCTGCTGGAGTCCCCAGGGATGCTCCTTGCTCCCCAGGGAGAAGAGGATCCTAAATGACACCCACTCCCTGGGCTACCAAAGCTGGAAAAATCCATGAGTCCTGGAGGTACAGGTTGGGGGTCAGTTAGGAGAGCTTTGGCTACTTTTTCAAGTTGGTGCCTCCCTTGGTGTAGCTGTGTATTCAGCTGGTGGACGCAGAATTCACTCTATTAACAAGGAAAGCACTCAGGCAGAGAAATCCAGGGCTCTCTACATCCCTGTCCCCCTTACCTAGGTCTCTTCTCCCACCACATTCATCCCCTTTTCTTGTTTTCTTTCTTTTCTTTCTTTCTTTCTTTCTTTCTTTCTTTCTTTCTTTCTTTCTTTCTTTCTTTCTTTCTTTCTTTCTTTCTTTCTTTCTTTCTTTCTCTCTCTCTCTCTCTCTCTCTCTTTCTTTCTTTCTTTCCTTTCTCTCTCTCTCTCTCTCTTTTTCTTTCTTTCTTTTTTGACTACCCCAAACACACAAAGTTCTCTGTTTACTGTTTCAGGTGTGGACTGTGGTGGACTCAGAGCCCAACCTTCACATTATGGTTGTCACCCACTAAATAACATTCTCTGCCAGACTGCAGCCATCCTCTTCCGGGGTTTCTGCCCTCAGCTGGATGTGTTTTCTTCTGCTGCCCATCGCTCCACCCTCATCAACACCAAACACCCCACCCTTAAACAACTCCCGCCATGCTCTGGCTCGTTACACCCCTTTCAAACTCTTTCTCTCTCCATCATACACAGGCTCATATTTTCCCAGTTTTATCTCCTGCTTCCTCCTGCTTACACACTTCCGCAGACCTCCTTCCCCAGTATGCCCCAGCCATCTCTCACCCCAGTGTACACTGGTAATCCCAGCATCCCTTTCCACAAACCCTTCACTCTCCTGCTCCCTGCCCCCAGCTTAAGCCCACACCCACACGTGGTTAGGTAAAGGGTTGGAGAATTATGGCACACCTGGAGCCTTGCCCTGTTGGCACTCTCCAGCCTCTAAGGCCCGACTTCTTCCTTACCTACTGCTGTCCTCACATGTCCTCCCCCACCCCTTTCTCTAGCATTGCCTCTCTTCCCACTCTTGCTTCCCACTGCTTCCAGCCTTAATCTCGCCCCCTGGGAAATCATCCCAGTGCCTCTTTATCCAGACTCATTTTTCTGAGCCCTAAGATCTCCTGAAACACTCCCACAGGCCCTCGTGAGCCTACTCACTCCGTTCCAAGAACACAGCCATCAATCTGTCGCAGACACGGGTCTCCCTCCCTCATTCTGGAATCCCGCTCGCTTGCTTGCTTGCTGGCTTGCTTCAGAACAGATTGCCTATTCAGCTCTTCCCTTCCCCCGGCTCTCATCTTCCATGGTTCCTGGATCCCAGGGCAGCATATTCTGTGGTTTCCTGTCCTGTGGTCCCTGTGTCCCTTCTTTTACCCAGAAGGGAAATCTGAGAGAGGATGCTTAGAAGAAAGTTCACAGAATCTGAATGCTTCTTTCTGAAACTCAGCTGGTGCTGAGGCTGCCGGGTATGTGGTTTCCGCCAGAGCCAGGTTTTCCCCTCCCTTCTCCTTCCCTCCCTCTCTTCCTCCTCCCTCCATCCCTCTCCCTCCTCTCTCTTTTTCACTCCCCTTTTTTCCTCGAGGGCCAGGTAATGACGTTTCACTGTCTCTTAGCAACTGCTTCTACATCTCTGAGCAACAGGAGAACTGGCTATAGACCCCACCAAGATGAAAGAGGAGAGAGCTAAGTTCTCTGCAGAATCCATGGCCACTCACAGGATCCTAGTGATATGAAAAGGGGGGGAAGGGACAGGAGGGTAGGCAACCTAAGTCAGGGGTAGGGGAAGAGGAGTAGGTAGGGAGACATTGAGTAGGAATCTCGATGAAGGAGAACACTTTAAGGGCATCAGATCCCAAAGGGAAACTAGAGAGGGCTTGGAATGGAGAAAGGGACTTAGTGGGGGAGGGAAAAGCAAAATGACACTAGAGGGTAAAGACATGAATAAGGATGGAAAGAAAAAAAGAGAAATGCATGTGATACTCAATGTTTGTTCACTCGATGGGATTTATCTATCCAGTCACTATAACATCTCTTTTCCCAGGTCTGAATGTATGAAGGGTCTCCCACATGAGGTGACTGTCTGAAGACTTGTTAGGAACAATTAAAGATGAGACCTTTTCTGTCTCCCTTGATTATCCCTAAGTCCTGATACCACACCCTTTCTGGGGCTAGGAATTTTCGCTAGAATAGATCAATTTTCCCCTGGCTTGGGAACTGAGGGTCCTTGGGATGCAAAGGGCCAACTGCCTGGTTCAGGTGGGAGTACCTGGGGCTCTTCAGACACTTGGATCTATCTGTAGGGGACTGAAGTGGCTAGCAAAGCCTTGGGGTTCTTTCTTCTTTCTTCAGGCCTCAGGCATTATTTCTGCTATTCTGTTCTCTTGAAGTGTCCTATTACCCTACATACCCAGTGTGACCTCATATGAGGTTGAAATTTTCACATCTCTTCTTGCTGACCTACTCAACAAATCTATTGCTGTCCTGCTTTTCAAAATTGGCTTGACTTGTTGGTTCAAAGACCTGACTCATTCCCTTTTAAAATTCCTCCTCCTACTCCTCCTCCTTTTTCTCCTCCTCCTCCTCCTTCTCCTTTTCTCTTCAGTAGGGTCTCTCTATATAGTTCAGGCTGGCCTGGAAGTTGTGATCCTTTTGCCTTTGCCTCCCAGTTGTTGGGATTATAGGTGTACACCACCATGCTCAGCTTCATTTCCCTTTTAAAAATATTTTTTTGAACATTCACTGTGTGCTGTGTAGTTGGCCAGATGGTAGACTTACAGCTGCTGAGAAAATGGACATAGACAAGTACCTAATGGAAGTGATATTGGCTCTGTGTTTTTAATCAGTTCACCTGGGGCCTCTTGTGTATTTAGGTAATATCTTAGATCTTTGGGGGAGGGGGAACCAAAATAGAGTAGTAGAAAACATGTGTGAATTTATGCAGGTTCTGGACACTGACAAAGTTCCAAAGATTGTTGACCTTGTCCTCTCTAACATGATTTCCTGTATGGTTACAGAAAGGCAGCTTCCCACTTTGTAATATGACAAACATTTGTTTTATTACAAACATTTTGAATCTTTCACATCCTACTGTGTCTTGTGCAGAGTAAGATGGTAGCCACTTCATAAACAGTTTCTGACGCTATGGAGGTAAAAGCAGTTTGCCTTCTCTCCTTTTCTCAAAGAAGAGAATGGCTGTTCAATCTTATTTCTGAGTTTAGAAATAAAATCTTAATCATACTCAGAAAAGAACATGGTGAAACAAGTAATCTAACTATAACTGGGGACCATTGGCCTTTGGAAAGCAAAGCTGGCTTCATACTCTAACTGATAAATGGTAGAAAACCCAATTATCTCACCAGAGGGAATCATGAAAGGTAACAAGGCTAAGAAAGTATTCAGCACAATTCAATATTTAATGATGACTAAAAACAAATAAAAAAGAGTGGAGATTCTCTTCCCTTACATGATAGGAAGTTTATATTTATAATTAGAACTAGTAATATGGCTAAAGGAAAACATTAGTGACAGTTTCCTTCTAGGCAAGAATGTCTCATTATTATTTGAAACTTCGATTTTCCTACCTGTGAAATGTGGATAATAATAACGGCACCTAACTCATCGGGTTATTTCATGTATGTGAGTCATTACTACTAATGTGCTTATAGCAATACACAGTGAGTACTACAGATGGGTTTGTTAAGTCAACAAATAAATAAATAGCAGGATAAAAATTAGAGATAGTTTTGTGAAAAGGAAACAAATTGCACAAAAATAGGAGGGAAAGAAAAGAATATATCACATTTGCTATGATTTGAATGTATTCTTGAGCAATATAAGTTGCAAAACTTACAGGAAACTCCAATTCAAGAACACTATGATGGTACATATTGTCTTCTCTAAAAGTGAGGTTCAATGAGGTAGAAATATTTCCAGTCACTACTCACTTTTAATCATTCTATGGATCATTAATAGAAATCTGTGAATCCCAAACTGGTGTTTCATGGTACACTATGTGTCATGAGAAAAATGTTTGTTTTCAAGTAAGGTTAGAAAATAGTACATTAAACAAAATTAAACAATTTTATTTATTGGAAGAGTTCGAGAGGCTTTAATGTACAAATAGTCATGACAAGTCTGTACATGAGAGCATTGGGGAGTGAAGGATGTATAATACTCAGCATTTCCTATACTTATTTTAGATTTCTAGTTTTCTATCTACCTTGCTTCCTCCTCTGTTTCCTCTACCCACTTTCCTCCTTCCTTTCCTTCTCCTGATTTTCTTCCTTCTTCTTTCAGGCAGTAATAGGATTTGAACTCTGGACCTCACCCTTGGTAGGCAGGCACCCTACCTCTTGAGTCATGTCCCCAGTCCTTTTACTTTTTCAGTTTGTTTTTCAGATAGAGTCTTCTGCTTTTGCCATGCTCAGTCTCAGACCAAGATCCCCTCCTGTCTCTGCTTCACAAGCAGCTGGGTTTGTGGGCATGAACCATCATGCCTGGTCTGGCCTTTTATTTTTTTTTGGGGGGAGAGATTCTTTCTATGTAGCCCAGGCTAGTCTTGAACTCAAGATCCTCCTGCTCAGCTTTTTGAATGCTGGGACAACAGTTATGTGTCACCATGCTTGGTTTCTTCTTCTTTCTTTTTTTGATCAGAATTATTAATATTGGGAACAGTTTTTAGTAAGGTGCGGTTTGGGAAATACTCAACTAAAGTTTATTAAAGACTTTCCCTTGATTAAATGTCTTCACTCTAGCACTAGTAGTTGGCAGCTATAAAAGGCTTTTTTAATATGAAGAAATGAGGCTTGTCTTATTTATGAGATCTATTACATACATAGATAACAAAAACTTCAGATTGAAACATTGGGTTGGGTGGTTAGCTGCTTCCCCATGCAAAGTGACTTTTTC